ACTGTTACCTGGCCACTCCAAAGTTGAGAACCCGATTTTTTGATAAATAATTAGTCACCTTAAAGTAAGAAAAAGGGATAAGTATGAAATTTGTAATCAAAACTATAGCAATAAACTCTAATTGTACAAAAAATGGATACTTACTATTTTGGCACAATGGCAGKKCGCAGAGTCATMCTGAAAAATAAGGACATCCGCTCGTAAAAAGTGGTTTTCCACCGAATGTATTAAATTTCTTTCATGTGTCTCCTGATACTTATTCCCACTGACGGTTCCTTCTATTAGGGCTAGTTTCCCAAGGTCATAGTAGGAAAAGTAACCCCAGGCCATTCAGGCCAACAGTTTTTGAACACATTCGTCCTCCGCTCACCGCTCACCAGTTTTCTTCTCACGTAGGACATACCGTCGCTGCAGAAAATGTTAAATTTGCACTCATCTGAGAAGATTACATTTCGCCAATCAAGTTGGGTCCAATTTTGATGTTCTTTTGCCCATCGTCAACAGTTTCGACGTTTTTTTGAGGTTAAAAGTGTTTTTTTGGCGGCCGGACGAACGTTCAAATCAACCTCTTGAAGCCTTCGACGAACAGTTCTTGCGCTAACTTTCATAGCGAGTCTTCGAATAACTCCACCTAAAGTTCTAAGCAGTTTTGAAGCGATCCCTCAAGCTGATACGTTCTATAACCCGATCTTCCCTAGAACTTGTCTTTTTCTTTGCCCCAGAGCCAGTTTTTCTCCTAAGAGACCTGGTTTTATCGAAATTTTTTAGAAATTCTTCGATGGAAGAATGAAGCTGTTGGCTGTTCTATCACTAATTTTCTGGAAGCAAGCGAATATTTTGCTTTAAATACTTATTTTTTAGCAGCTATCACGTCAATTTATGAAGATCTATGATGCTATGTTTTTACTTTTTCTAAATATATAAATTTACTCGCAAAAAAATTTTAAAATTGTATTTTTCTCATGTCTCTGAATACTAACTCCTTAGGGCCCCTAGAAACTTATGACATTTTTATTAATTATTTTTATTATTCTTTATTTTAACCGATATTTTGGGTGTATACATATGTATTAATATTACCGTTAAGAAATTTAGTTACAGTGTTTAAACAATTAGACGAAAGTAATGCTCGGAGAGTAAGAGAGCTTGATTACTTTTACAATTGCGTCTTTCGGATGACTAAATATGCCGTTATATATGCACATGTAAACAATTCGAAGTTTAAATACAGTTATAAATCATTTTGTAGCAACTAAATACTATATATTTCAACTTGAGGGCAGCGAGCCGAACATTTCATATTCGAATATTTTAACAATTTGGGTTTTCAACATTTAGATGCTCCAAAAATGCCAACGTCACTCATCATTGTAAGTTTTATATGTATAGCATGTTATTTTCTGACAGCAAAAGTATATTTCACTACATACATATACATATATATATTTAAGTGTGTGCTTGGTTAAGTATTTGCAATTAATGACAACATCTATTAACAGTGACACCAATAACACGCGACGAGCCTAAGCGCTGATATGATCGCCCTTCTTGGCTGCTATGGGCAGCTTCTCACCCTGCAAGAAGGGATTGTTGAGGCCGCCATGACCTGTGGCAAAACCGTAGAATTTCTTAACCACTGCATTTGGATTGTCCAAGCCGTTTTCATTCTGGAATTGATGCATCAAGAACTTCTCCATGGTCGAGGTCATCTCGTTGGCGCTGGCATTGCTGTCCTGCCCGGCACAATCGAACATATGCTCGTTGTCGCAGGTGCACTCCTGGGCAGCTTGAAATTCGCGACTGAAAATAGCGGTATTCTCAAAATCCGATATGCAACCTTGACTCTCCTCATAGCCGTAGGGACAGGGATTCGGTGGATTGCAGTAAGCCGGCAATGTGGCATCGGTCTTGATGGCTGGAAAGCGATTGGGCATCTCGCCCATCCCGCCATTTATGTACTGGTGTCCCCATAAGGAACTGTGCTGCATGTACTCTTGGTCGCGTATGGACGGATGTGAGCCGTACATGCCGCGATACTCGTACTCATCCGGCCCGTTGTTGTTGTTCTTCGATGAGCGCGACACGAGGTCAACGCTTTTCGGCACATCACCAAGCAAATCGAAATAATTCTGCACCGGATCGATGTCCTTGTCCATGCGGTTTAGCAGCTCGGTGAGCAGCACATCGGCGAAAATATTGTCTTTGGGCATGGCGTTGAAAGCGGCGACATTTCGTTGACTGCCAAACAGGAAAATGGCGTACAAGAGCACAAAGCAAGAAGCGCCTAAAAGTAGATAATTTTATTAGAGTTACAAATTGCCACTATTTAAGTTCAAATATATGTATTTCCAATGGCTGGTTATTAATATCAATCTTACCGTTACGTTGAGCAGCCATATTGTTAATGATAAGCCACTGCGTGTTTTTCCGTTTTCAATCACTCATTCGCTGCTTGTACCTACGTATATTATGTAGTGACGTTCGACGAATTATCGATTTTTCACGCTGGCAGCGCTGCATAACACGACAAGGCTTGTGGTAGTTTTATGCCCGGCGCACAGCTCACTGAGTAGTATGATTTTTTGAATTTGATTTTTGAAATTGAAAAGATATTAGTTTTAGTTTTATTTCTTGTTTGAAATTTATTATTTCGCGTTCAAAGGAAAAAGCAATCCTACTTCTATACTGGTGGCAAAAGTGGTTAAAATTGTCCACATATGTATAAATCAATGACATCCATTTAATGAAATATCTTTTTTAAATTTATATGCATACATACATATATATAAAGAGTAATATAATACTAATTGTTTAACTTTTTAACAAACTATACTAAGTAATTTGAAAATAAGATATGTACATACATACAGCGTTATTAATTTTGCCTCGAGAAAATCCTAAAACATCTACAACTTCGGCAATATTTTGATATTTTTGAAAACATTCCAATATGACCCTTCTTTTGCTTGAAGTTGTGCTTTTATTCTTGCCCATGACGACGATGACTACAAATTTTGTTAAAAATAACTTAATTTAGTAAAAAAGAAAAATATTGATGTAAATTGTGGCGAAAAAATTTTAATTTACCCGTTTCAAACAGAATGACTTAATTATGTGAGCACACTTTAATTGACAAAAAATGGAAAATTCATTTAAACTCTCCCAAACGAAAATACTTGAATGCGCTGTAAATCGGTGGCGTTCCTAGAATAACGGAACTTTTTGCTCGCGCAATATTAGGGATGTTGCATAAAGAAATATACCTTGTATTTTTACATGTTGTAAAAAAGTACTGAATGACTTAATTATATGAGCACAAGTGTATGTCATATATTCAAATCATCGAAAAAATTCATTTCCCACAAAAATTTTGTCAGCTCTTCCGGGTGGCTCAAAAAAAATGTATTTGTGACAAAAACCAAAAAATAGACGAATACAGATATTAATTTAAATTTTATATTTTACTTTTGGGGAGCTATTTTTACCAAAACGCTTATATTTCCGAATCTATTAGCCGGAACAACTTCAAATTTTCGGCAAATATTTTCAAAACTCATAAGAAAATAAGTAACTTTTTTGAAACTCGCAAGTGGATATAAATAGTTAACAGTAAAACTATTTCCTTGGAAACTTGCTCTGCGCTCAAAAATTTTATATATTATCATTATATAATATTGCGGCGACGCGCGTGCGGTATAAAAAATAATTTTATGGCGTCTAGTGTGTTTTGCTGTTGTTGTAACGGCAACAGTTGTTTGATGCAAATGTGTATGTTGTCAATATATATAAATATATGAATTTGTGGGAATATATGTATATATTTAAGAAGGAGTTTATTTCAGTACAGTGCTAGTTGTTCGTAAATATGTGCGTAGAGCTAATTATATTATAGATCGGTGACAACATTAAACGAATAATAGTAGATTATATAAATAGTCAGAAAGTTATAAGAGAGGAGAAAATATTAAAGCGTCAAAGATGTAGATATATTTTTTAGATTACTCTTAGCGAAATTCGAAAAAAAAAAACAATTTTAGGTATTATGAAGCTCCATAGTACCTAAGACCCCATACTGGCTTCCCATAAAATCCAGATATTAAATTCTAATAATTTGAGCTTAAGCAATAACCTTGACATCCAATATTTCTCCCCATAAACATATTTTGGCCGTTTTATAAAAATAAAATTCCTTAATTTTATATATCCGTTTATCTTATCCATTAACTGACTAAATAATGCTTAGGAAATGGCAAATTAAGTTTCCTATAAATTCGGTTTTGCATCTATTGGCAACACTTCCTCTCACAACAGCTGATTGCTGCCAGAAAAACAATAGAAAATCAAGTTTGTGTAAAATTACGCGCGCAACGCTTTAATAAATTCTCAAATTAGAACACGAGCTAAGGTATTTTATAACTAATGTTTATTGTGTACAAATTAAATATAATTATTTAACAAAATGTCAACAACAAAACCGTGCAATCAACAAAATTGGAAGCATCCAGATGAGGTAGGATGGTGCATTTTTATGATTTTACGAAATAATGCATGCCAGTTGGCTCTATTGTAGCTCATAAAATTACATCGATTGAAGCAAAAGAAAAAGCAGCTGGCCGCACGCTTAAATCAAAACACAAATTTGCCAAGTGTAAAGAAATGCGGACTCGATAAAGAGAGCTTGTTGGAGGCGAAGATAGCGCAGAAGCGAAAGAATCCCTTTGCAATGTAAGAATATATTTGTTTATCACAGTTCATCTTATCATAAATATTAATTTCATTTACGCATATTTAGAAAATCTGAGACGAAACGTACCCGTACCGACGACACGCCGCTTATTGAAGATGACACGCTGCTGGCTTTTGTCAACACACCGCCGCCACAGAAAGATGCATTTGTGCGTGAAACACCGACACGTCCTCCACCAGCCAAGTTGACACTGCAACCATTCGATCCGAAATCATTTGCTGCTATGCTCCATGGCACTGCGATGACCGAAGATGACGAAGCTGCTTTAGAGGAACAAAAGTTTACTAAGCATCTACCAATGGATTGGAGCATCAAAACACGTGTGCGCTTATTTTGTCGCAGCGAACTGCCAACAACTACGCTCAAAACAAGTCAATTGGCTAGCGGTTTGACTAGCTTCGTGCGGTGCATTGATCCACAGAATGCGCAATGCGGTTTAGATATTTCTCCTGCCACACGTTTCAATCAGGCCAGTTACTATTGGCAACATCCTTACCTCCCTTGGATGACATTATTTCCTCGTAATACTAAAACTAATAACGGTATAGTACTTGGCGAAGGTGAACGCAAATCTTTAGCAGACGATTGGGACTACAGTTTTAGGGGATTATTTCAACTTTTGCGCGCACGACAGTGCCCCTACTTTTATCTGTGCGCAAATACATTTACAGTGCTTTTTCGTGCAGCTGGCACCGGTGGCTGTGTGGAAACACATGCTCTTATGTCGCCTAGCACACGAGGTGTGCGTAGCGCTTTACGCCAAGAGGGTATAGAATACTCAATGCCATTGAAAAAGGATAGCGCATTAAATAAGTCTGATGAAGGTAACTTCACAGAAGAGAGTAACAGCGTCGATGCAGCTACTGAGGGTATTTATAATTTATTTTAATTTGTTATGTTTTTACTAACAAACTTTACCAGCAGGGAATACTGGCCGCCCCGCTGACACTTCCAACGAATTGCTAGGAGAGGAAGACGAGGAAGATACTGATAATTTTTTGGAAAATCTTGAAGTGAATGATAAAGATTTAAGAAGAATTCAAACCGAGCATGCGCGCAAGTTGAACGTGCAAGAAATGTCCGATGATTTCAGCGAAAACTCGCTATTGCTTATAGAAGGTGTTGAATGTCAAGGATTTTTTAGTTTCCTGCTCAATGCCAAAAGTACAATTTCTAATGTGGGTAGACTGGCAGGCATTCCACCTACCCTATTAGCTCCGGTGGCATTCCCCAAAGCTACGATGCAGCAATTAGCAACACGCTCGAGTAAAGTGCGTATGGATGGTGTTGACTACAATAGTATTGAGATGAAAGGTGTGATATTACCATCCTTCCTGCCATATGCCTGCAGTTTGCTAGGCGAAAATAAAGACACATTTAGCGCAACGCTTGCCACTAACAATAATACGCTGGCGTTTAGTAAAGCAACTCAATGTTTACTGGAGAAGGCTGTATCTGAAGCAGATGCACAAGAGCAACCGAAAGCAAGCGATGATGAAGCAGCAGGGCAGGTGTTTGGGCAAGAAAACTTATCAGACTGTGGTCTGATACCGAGTGTTGTAGAGTGCATGTGTCGTACCGGACAAAATGCCGTCACCCTTTTAGAACGTGTTTGTTACGATAGAGAATACGGCTACGCATGGAGTTAGCAAGTATAAAATTGTTCCAAGAACTCAGAAAAAAGATACTTTCCTAAAGCATATACTCATAGATAATGTGGCAACTAATAAAATAAATTAATTTTCAAAAAATATGTTTAATAAAATCTACAATTTAAAATTACAATTTAATGGTCCACTATAATTAATTCATCTATGCTCCAATCCTCATATGAGTGATCTGGCAGAAATCGTCTTATGATAATTGGTATTTTTTTCTGCTTCAATTCTTTCATTGCGATCTGTAGTGGATCGGTTTCACCTTCCAATTCCACCATTATAGGTGCACACATAGCAATTTGTAGCGCACGCGTACCCAATACACGCGCGCGTTCGTATTTCGTCATGTATTTTGTGGTAATACGTTTTGATTTAGGCACACCACCCCCTGCACTTCCCTGCGCTATAATTTCTATATTATCGGCCTCCTCTTCCTGATTAATATCATCAATGTTATCCTCCTCGTCAACATCATCGAATTCATCACCACCGACACTAAAAAACAAAAATTAAATTAAAGTTCTGAACGGTCTACGAGTGCTTGACCGAAACGTGGTTCCATTTGGATGCCTCTAAAATAAATTAATTTTTTTGAAGCTTTTATACTTACTCATCATTATCATAATCTCCATCATCCATGTTGTGAGTTAAAAATTAATGTTAAATTTAATAATAATAAAGTACGAATGTATTTTAAAATTTCACTACGGCGTGCACGAAAAACAAGCGATGTATTCGTTCTTGTTCTTGTACAAATAGCTGTCAGGTTATCTATGGCAGTCAGTTTGCAGCTCTGTTCGATTTTGAGCGGGGGCTGCCATCGCCAGTGTTTTATATATTTATAGCAAATATTTATAGTAAATATGCCAATACTTTAATATAAATTCAACACATGAATATGTTTTTCAAAGTGTTTTTTAAAAAAGACATTAATAAAGCTTAGTTTGCTTCTAATTTGCAATTTATAATATAAAATATTTCCGCTATAGATGGTGTACAAAACATCTGTCTCATTAATGAAATATTTTGATGTAATCAAAAAAATTTATTGCGACTCGTTTCAACCCATAAAATTGCCTCCATCACATGTAGTTGGCAACACGTCGTGTAATCAATTATAAATTCATTTAGTTAGATATTATTTTTGTTTAGTATTTTCTCGGTAGTGAAATTGAATTGTTGAGTCCGTGGTTTTTTGTGGCTTTATTAATTTTATAAATTATCGCACTTATTATTGTTGTAAACGTTTTAATTAAACAAGCGGCTCCTGAAAAAGATTATATTTATGTTTTCATGTACACAGCTGTTTGGTTATACTTTTCAAAGTACCTGAAGTGTTAATAAAAAGTAATTCAAATCGGGACTTTTACTCAGTGAAAAAAAGTGATTGAGCAACATAATTAGGTGTTAAAGTGCAAAGCACTTTTTACCACATATTTGCGTATGCTTGTAATTGAGAAAGTGCATATTTTTACAGCAATTAATTAAGGGATATCGGCACAAAAGTACAAGTTCTTACCTCTAAATTCGGCGTAGTATTTGACATATCGACTTTTCATGAAGTTCTAAAATACTTCAATTTACTTGCCAATACACTACAATACAAAGATAAACCAACAACACAAATAGGAAAAATACATATTATTTTTAAAAGAAACCGGAACAAAGCATATGGTGGACACCTACTGTTCACTGGAGGCGGACACGTTGATGTCCAAAACACCAAAAAGCTATCAAGGTGAATGAGGTGACTTTATTTTATTATATCGCATAACATTTAATAATATAAATATGTACTCATTCATGCACATATGCACTTGCGGTATTTAATATTTACATATGTGTAGATGTATTAAACTGCGATAAAACGAGTTTTATAACAAAGTTCTCCTTACTGCCAATTATTAAAGTGCTAATGAATTTCAAAATTTGTTTGTATGCTTGTTATGTACATGCGTGTGTGCATATTTTATACAACTCTGATCAAGCAAATGCAGCCTTTGCGTCTAAAACTTAATTTTACCTTAAATATTACAAAATAGTAAACACTTTATAAATGCATGTAAATTTAGATATATTAACTTACGATTTTATTTAGTGGCAGATTTGACAGTGTTAATAATATTGAAAATCGAACAATTACTGAGCAAATATAAACCAAGTATAATAATTTTTTGGATTTCCAGTCATTGAGCAGTACGTAAAATGCAGTACATACATTTTAGACTTACTCGAAGTTTTCTTACACAAACCGATCTATTATCTGATTTTCATATGCTATATCAAACGATTGCCGACTCTCTGGTAGATAATATCCGTTGCATGATGGTAAAAGACATTTCTACAACTTTTTTATTTAATTTTCAATTCCTCCTAAACATGACACATGCCTCCTTTTCCATTTCCTTATCTGCTTTCGCTTTTGCTTTTTTCGAAATGAACTAATGTATTATGAATATATATACTGTAAATACAAATTTTTGTATATACATAAATACTGTCCATATAACAGTAAAGCTGTACGCTTTACTTGGATTAACGAAGTCAAAGCATGCAGGCACGTAAATTGTTCGCTGTCATGCCTGTGTGTATTACTTTTATTGTTCTTAATACTGCTTAGGAATGCAGGACACAAACCAGAAATTAAACTGCATTGTCCAAAACAAAACACCATCATTAAATGTTTACAAAAAAATATTTTCCATCGCTGAGTGACTAATTGACATGTGTGTAAATACGTGCAAACATATGTATAGTATGTACATATGTATGGCGATAAGGTAGCTACATAGTATTCTGCGAGAACGTTAACTTGTGATATCACATAACCACAGTTGGGCGCTCCGCTTTAACCTGAAGTGCCAAATAGCAATGTGAAACAATGCAGCATTCTTTGTGTTATTATGAAAATATATATACATATATTGGGTATATTTCTACATATCAGTATCAAATAAGACTTTTGCAATGTTCGTGCGTAGCGCTGAACTACATGTATGGCTGTTCAATTGTATGATTGAATACTTGTTTACAAGTGATTGCATAATTTGCCGGGTTGTTCAATTTCCCAAGCCATTTTACTTTTTTGCCGCATTAATTAAAATTGATAACTGTTTATTGCAAAACCTTAGGATTTTAAACTAGCTTTGTTTATTTTATTCCCTTATATTTACAGTATTTAAATTAATTCATATTTAGCAAGTTTGTTATGGAAAATGAAACAGGGATGCAAAAACTGATTTGTTATGACTAAATTAAGGTAGCGTTCCCAATTATAATTTTTTTAATTGTTTTATAAATAAATAAATACACACTAGTGAATGCTTTTGACGCTTGCCAAAAAATTATTATTTTTAAAATAAATAAATATAATGAAGCTTTCAAGAAATGAACTCCAACATCATTATTGAATTGTTTCATAACCTTTGATTACCAAATTAAGGATATGTTGAGAATAAAGTTTACTTAATGATGAATAATTAATATTGAATTATTTATGTGCATTAAATAATTAAAAAATAAGAGTAAAAGTAGAATTAATTTATTAAAAACAAGAAAACATTAACTCACTTGCATTCGTTTTCCTTCAGGGTGTTACACATTTCAAACTTAATATACCCTGTCCAGTATAAGTACAGTAAACAAATATATAGTTGAGACGTCTTGAGGAATCAAATTAGGTCTAACGTTGAGAAACATTTTTCTGCTATGTTAAAATACTTTTCGTGTTGAGAATTTTACACCAGTGGAAGTGCTGCTGATGCACAACGGTAGAGGTTTGAGAAGAGACCGTTCCCACGAGAGTCGGGTATACGTAACCCGGGCGGACCAGTCAGTTATAGGCTGTCATCTCGGCAGAATTCTGCCGTTAGAACAGCAACAATGTTTGAGAAAAAAATTTAAAAAACTATACTCTAATTTCGATCAGGCTTAAAACTTATTTGAGTGGAAAAATATAGAATTTTTTTATAATATTAAATAAACAAGAAAATGTAGCAGAGCATCAAATTATGAACTCTTTGTAGGAAAGGTTTAAAATGCATAATGGTTTTTTCGGCAAAATCAATTTATTTTATTCAAAAAAGTCTCCTTCTGACGCAATACAGCTTTTTGCATGTCGAACGTGTGTTCCAGCTCGTTAGCCGTCGTATGACCGCCAGTATGCCGGTGCAAGCCTTTTGAATGGCCTCTATGTCCGCATAACGCTTTCCTTTCATGGGCAAATGGATTTTTCCGAAAAGGAAGAAATCGCACGGTGTCATATCATGCGTCAGTCAGTCAGGTGCACTCACCTTTCGTAAGCCAAAATGTTCGGTCAAAATGCGATAAATCGATGTTTTGGAGATGTTCAATTCCATTTCCATGAATTAAAATAATGATTTTGGCTGATTTTTGATGAATTCACCCACATCATCATTCATTTATGTCCTCACGACCACTTTGAAATAGGAATAGGCAATCATCGCCATAAACTTGTTTCATCAATTGAAACGTTTCGGTAAAAGTTTTACCAATTTTAAAACCAAATTTAATGTTGGCTCTTTGTTCGAATCTCATTTTCATTTCAATCGATGGAAGGTCATGAAATTTTTACTGGACAAAGATAGAAGATTCTAACGCACCAGTCGACACATAGATTCAAAAAGTCATGTTTACTTTGGAATGCACCTTGTACATTTCTCATAATTATTCTGCGCAATCGTTAATCGTTTGAACGTAGAATGTCGGGCTTTTTATGAACGTTTCATTATCTTATCATTAAAAAATTGCACAACTTGTGATTATCGATTAGAAAGAAACAAAGAACGTCCCAGGTAGATATGTATGTACATACAAAAACCCTGTAGTACGTAACCAGTAAACCCAGTCCAAACAGTCAGTCTGTTAGACTGCTTTTTTTCAAGGCAAAGAACTGGTATATTTCACTTTTTGATTTTTTGCGGATGTTATTTGTCCAATTTCGGACAGAAATATCCCACTTCCATACTAGTTCGATATAAAATTCTAATTTGGATCTTATTAACATTTTTTTTTGCAGAATCCGCAATACGCACAAGAAACTATTCCCATGATATACAAATATGTACATAAGTGC